AATCCTTGCTGCACTCGCAAGGTGATATGTCTTGGGTGGGGCATGTCTGCTCCATCATCGCAGACACAAGGGTGGAAATGGATAGAAAGAGGACAGGGAATAATGAACTCATTATAGGATTGCCTATCGAATGAAGACTGGAGGAGGCCCCTGGTGTTGAGTTTCCTCTGAGGTAAGTCTTCTTTGGCGATGGAACTTTATTCACGGGTGGGTGACACGTATTCCTGATGGAACGGAATGATACTTCTACACATGTGGCAAAAATGATAATGTGAGTGTCCATGCGCGTACTTATGCCGAAATTCGTTGGAAAAACCTATATTATTTGAGGGAATACAGGGCATGAGGCTTCTGCTCCAACGAAGACAGCCGTTCTCCTCCTCCGTTCATTGTGGCTACCACCATGTTGAACGCTCGCTCGCACATGCTTGCCTACCCTGCAACTCACACTTCTTAATATTAAAATTACTACTTCGTTTCTTATCTTTCTCAGCTAAAATTTGCGTCGAGGCAATTTACTCAAGAGCTTGGGATTGGTGCATTACATGTGCCATTCCAGTTGTGGTCCACTTCAGATGTATTTTTCTCAAGGAAAATGTTAAATTAGAGGTAAGAGAGATTGAATTAGTAGTCTGATGTAACAAGCGTCGTATCAATGCAATAGACTGCGTAGTCCGATCCAAGAGAGCGCACTAAAGAAGTAGCGTTGGGGAAAAAAACTAACTAATTTTTAAATGAATCAATTAACACTTACTTTTTGTGCAGCTTTTAGACCATGACAATCAATGTGAGACCACTCTCACCTTCATACGACCTCCCCTGCATGGTTAGATGATTCGGTAAACTGTGTAATATATATGTAGATGCATGACTAGGTAGTTCTCTAACACTCTCTTTGAGAAGAGAGAGGCGAGGATGGGCAGCAATCTTTTCAAAAGTGATTAAATAGAGGTCCTGAATAATCACATTAGTGAATAGAACCTTCAGCTTCTCTGTGATAGGGATACACCAAATACTCACGGATTAATTGGAGGAGTTTGCGTAATGATAATGACATTTCCTTAATAATGCAGAGGTTTCAACGCAAATGAGCCGATTTTGAATAATGAAGGCAATCAAGGAGAACCCGAATGAGACGGAAATTTACTTCGGTGAACGGAAACCTGATTCCGACTATGGATTTGAATATTCCGGAAAATTATAGGAAAACTCTGTTATTCGCTTTAAATCGATTCCGAGGTCCTTTTTTCGAAACAGCATAGTTACATGAAAAAATAAAATACAAGGTTTCTACTGTGAAGTAATGTAATGAAATATGCCCAGCCTGCATGAGGCATAAAACCAGCGGAGACTGTCGACGCAAGTTAATTATACATAAGCAGCCTTCCGATTTACTCATGTCTTCGAGTCCTAAAGGTGTGAGCATTGCGAGTTTGTTTACCTTTTAGGGGTTAACTTGCAAGGATACAAAAAGAAGTTACATATCGCGAAAAGCTGAGAGAACCACTGTAGGAGAATGATAGGAAACCTGCACGGCACACGCTTTCATCTCACGAGTGACTGCAGCACACCGCAATGAGAACCCGAGGAAACAGTCATCCTTGTTAGAATCGGCTCCCTCCTCTGCGCGCTCTTGTGCCCTGTCTCATCAAGGTGATTAGTGCATTAGTGCACGTGCAATGAATAGTCAAGTAGGAGGGACGACATGGAATGAGTCTCCCGAAACTGGAATAGATGGAACTGTCGGAATCATGACAAACAAGCCTTTGACCTTGAATGTTTTTTTTTTCGAAAATTTTCCTATTTTTAAGAATTCAGTGGAAACTCCTTTCTTGCTATGAATCTTTATCCTCCGTTCGGGTGGTGGACTGCTTCCAAGGATACGTCATATTACATACTCGTAAAACCTGTACTATATATGATTCTTGTGGGAAAAAAAGCTTATGAAGGTTTTACAGACATGCCTAGTATTAACATATTTCACCTGTCTCATGCAGTATGTCCCGTATGTCACTATACCATCTCAAGAAATCACACTTACTAAACTGTTGGCCCAGAAAAGAAGTAGCATCGACTGAACGATAGCATTTCACTAAGAATTATCTTCGTCAAAAATGGAGGCAATTCTTAGTTTTGAAAGAGCCTCAAAATGCCCTCTGCCCTAGCAATACGTTTGGCTCGGCACCAGAAAATCGCTAAAACTGCTATCGAACTCTGTCGTGACATTTCAAGATCTCCATCCAGATGGAAACTTTTGTTTGTTGCTCTAGCGTCAATTGTAAAGCTTTTCTCTCGTGATAGCGAAAGCAAATTAAACGCAATTTTATATTTTGTTTCTCGAGTCTATCTGAAATTGGGAGATGAAAACATGAAGCTTAGCAATTTTGTGGAAGAGGATTCAGCAAGGTGTTCCATGAATCGCCCTAAACAGATACACCTCTAAAATGCATTCGAAGCAATTTTCGTTTGAGTCTGATACTAAGTCATTATTGTGAAAAAAATTCTTAAGAGCGTACTTTCCATTAATGCTAACAACAATATCCTGTTTAATGCAGTTAGGAAAATATTGCAGCTTGAAATGGTAGATTGACTTACTGGAAGGCGTGCATAGCACTATGAAACTGACTCTGGAACTTAATAAATGTTGCCAGAAGTCATCCGCCTTAGGGGGATTTTCTCGGCGAATTGACAGATGTGTTGGAGGTTGAGCACAATATGAACTTCATATTGGGAGGACCAAAAAATGTTGCCAGCAGAACTTCACTTTATATGTGTGCCTGAAAGTCCGTTGCTTCTCACTCAACTCTCTCTTCTCTCTCCCTCTCTCAAAAATGATACTATTTGACGCCTCAAGTCAACCGTCTGGCCTATAAAGACAGGAGCCAAGAGGCAAAATATCCGAGAGGAAGATCAAGTTATAGTCATTAACCCTAAAAATACCACGCGTGAAGAGATCAAGAGGAGGCCTATCACCAAGAAGGAGAGAAAAAGGTATTAAATACTACAAGAGGGTCCTTCGACCTAATTTCTCCACTTCGCAATATTACTACTGATTCATCGACCTCCTCTGCGTCATCACCCAGGTCTCATCATCGGATCGGATCATCGGAAAGAGCGAGATGTGGCACGTACGAAGGAATCCGCAGGCTGATTTGACAAGAAACTCTACCTGAATGATATTTCGGGCACCGGCTGGAAGGCAGTAATTGAAGCCGGAATGCTCGGCAAATGGGTTCGTCGGTTTATTCATTTCATTTCATTGTTAATAATTCATTAACCTTCAGGGGTCCACGCCCGAGTTATCTCTCGTTGGCTTCACGAGGGAAGGGAAAAACCTGGATAAGAGAGCTGACTTATTCAAAATACTCGGGCCCCAATAGGTTAATGAAGGAGATAGATGAAAATACTGATGAGCATAGATATTAGTTCAAGTGATTCCTATCCATCGATGTCATTTGGTCCCCATAAAAACGAGATAAGGTATCATAGGGGATTCGAAATGCAAACAACTGGACTGCAGAATCATGCTCGCTTCCATTATGAAACACTGAATTCCACATATTTCTTAATTGATACCCCATGTACGAGTCATGACCCTGGCAGAGAGGAAAAATTTCCCGTCTCTGGATCGCATCAAGCGGAAAATAACCTATAGAGTCTGGAAGTCAAAGTCTGGAACCAAGGGGGACATTTACTTAAAATGTGCAAAGTATTCCATTGACTCAATATAGATATTTAGGAAGGGAATATTTAAAGCTTTCATGAATCCGTTTAAGCAAAAATGTTGCCTTAAGTGGAAGTGCATGCCACAGTTATGGGTTCACGGAATTGGTCAGCATTTTGAATTTTCCCTTGACTATGTGACAAATAGCAATATCAATTCAATTCGTTCCTCTCTTGTCAGAGCTACGTTCAAAACTTCAGTATATCCCTACTAACAAAAATAGAGGTTTATAACAACGTTTGGTTCCACACTGGGTCTAGAGTTTGTGGCCAACCTGTGAATTAAAAGTATATAGGAGTATATGATCATTTGTACCCAATACCTTTGTATCTAATAAAAATCTTTGCATACATAATGCCTTTGTATCTAATACCTTCGTACCTAATAAAAGTATCTACCTTTGTATTTGTATACCTATCCATCCTTGTGGACGGAGGAAACATGCGACAAAAAGGGATGGGGGGGGGGGACAGCCCATGACGTCACATGGCATGAAAAGGTAGCCCCTTACCCCTTTTCAGTGGGCCTCTTTTCTTGAAAATAGAGAGACCACAAATAGACCCATCCTGTCCGTCAGTGTGTCCGTGTGTCACACATTGGTTGTCCTATGATAACTAAGAAAATATTGCCCTGATACAAGGCGACAATCGGCAAGCAAGTAGATGTGAGCAAGATTAGAGGCTGAGTTCGTTTTGTGGCGAAAATACACCAAAATGAATATTATTATTGCAAATTTTTTACATTTGAAATTTGCCCATGGAAGGGAAAGAATGAGTACCCGTGAGCCCTTTAGGATCTGGATGACAATGCCCATGAGACAAGGGCTTGGATGCGGTGTCTTGTCAGCAACCAGAGCTGTCAGTTTCCTCCCAACCTTCGCGGCGGATGGGAAGTGGATCTCCTAAAATGAAAGGAGGCCGACTATCGGACTAGGCTTGTCCATCTTGTTATGTAAACGACTCTCCCTGGCGTTGGGCTGGCGGCGGCATCCCTTCGTACCTTTTGGGGTGGGGTTGACGCTCTCATATGGAAAACGTCGCTTTTATGACACCGCTTTCCCTAAATGAAACCTCAAAGTTAGAAAAAATCATGTTCAGAGAACTGCTTCAGATTAAACCCGTAATTCCGCTGAGGGAAAGTGGAGAAAACAAATTATTTCCAGGCAAGATGGATCTCAAGCCTGCTCTGCTGTGCACGGTTGCCAGATGGTTGGTGATTAATGTGCTTTCGAATGGCCATAAAGAAGAAAACATGTTCATTCTCTGGCAAATATAATGACTGCAATAAAAAAAAATCAATTGAAAGAAATTCTCCTTTCCCTATTCCTTGGTAAAATAATGCCCATCTTCGAATATCTTTGCAGACAGTTGAACAGCTTCTGTACAAGGATACTTTTTGTTCGGCCAATTCTCACTCGGAAGAAAACTTGAATAATGCATCTTCGATCCATTGGATGAACCTGAAGGGGCAGGAAGGAGAAAAGTTTCAAGTATGATTCATGTTTGATGAGAGAGGAAAATATCCATAAAATAATTGAGGGTAAAAAGAGTGTCTCACTGATTAACTTTGGTGAAAATGCCATACTGTCCAGGCTGTCTCAGCGAACATTTCTGTTTCTGTAAAAAGTGACTCACGATCCCTTCCACTGTCCAGTGACTGTCAACGGAGGCACGGGAGAAGAAAACCATGGGACTCCCGGAATCCCCAGGGCACACTGTTCGATAATCTGTAGAAACACGGGCATAATAAATTTGGATAACCCGTTCATACATGATGAATAGAATATCAAGGGAATATGTCAGAAGCTACTCAATGCGAGAACAATCCAATAGTAGAAACGTAGAGTACAGCTCTTAGCGTCACCTCCTCAGTTTTATCATTACATCGTTGGTTTGATGTATCTGTTGCGAAATAAAGGGTATCGTATGAAGAGGACGTCTTAAGATGCATAATCGCTGAAAAAGGCGAACAGAAGGGCCTAAATTCATTTCCATACTTGATCTGGAATTCTTTTAAACTCAACTAGGAATCCCAACGCATGAGGATGCGCTTGTGATTATGAAATGCATTTGAAAGAATTCGTATGTTAATGCATGCTACCAGACATTATCGATGATATTATCTCGGGATGCGTTTCAACAAAGCAATGAAGTTCATTTCCCTTGAGACCAAATATACCTTCAAGAGGAACGTCTGTAGCATGACCCGCACAGAACATGTTGGAGGTGAGGGTACGAGGAGCGGAGCTGTTCCCTGTGATTTTAATCGTGTCCTGAATGCATATGGGATTCGATATCACCGGGAGTTGAACCTCCGTCAGGACAGCTGTGAGGTTATCCGAACCATCATAACCCCAACCTGCTACCTGCATTTTTGCAAAGAAAGTATGCAAGGGAACTATGTTCGTGAAATTATAAGGACTTGAAATAATATATATTTTTATTCTTACCCATCCTCGTCTTCCATGCTCGAGAGTGTCCTCAGAAATATCAAATCGTGTCGGAATACATATCAGCTGAACTCTCTCAGTCAGTATGGAAGGATCAGCTAATTTCAACAGAGCGATGTCCGAGTCATAGTTATGTATGTTGTAGTTATTGTGCACTATTATGCGAGAAACCTGAAAGGAGAGCATAGCAGTTTACAGTACGAAGAAATGAATAGATCAGGGGTCGGGAACCATTGGCTCAGGAGTCAAATTTAGCTCACGAGCCGAAAAGTTTGGCTCATCGAGTCATGACTGAACATTGTAGATGCTTCTCATGTATCAAAGAATGCATGTCTGTTGCCAAATTCAGGAAAAATTTGGTTGTTCTTGCAATTTTTCGCTCAGAAGCACTTGGCTAAATCTTAATATGGCTCACATAGCCCTAAAGGTTCACGACCCCTGGAATAGATGGAACTACGTGATTGTCTTGCCCACTGAACTTTTTTTATCTGCACGTGTTCATCGTCAAGGACGTTAGCTCGATAGTGCTTCCCAAGGTAAACTGAAATATCTCTTTCGTCCCGAGGTCTGTGGGTACCCTGCACAGTGACACAATGGGCTGCTGTCATCACCCATTCCTCCTTAATGAGAACCCCTCCACAGACGACATCTTGTTCCTTGACATCATATATGGCGGCCTGCCATGGCCACTCCCCAATTTCCGAAGGAATTCCTCCCGATGATAACGGAAATGGATGGTCCCTTCTTCCGCATACTAGGCATGGGACGATACAACAAAACTCATTCGAATTAGCAGAAATCTGTCAGGAAAGGAGGGAGAATGTGAGTTTAGAGAAGTACTGACCAGGCTCGCAGAATGGTGTGTGTCCAGTCCATTCACCCTCATCTGTGCATTTTCGTGATTCAGGTCCTTTTAGCAGAAAATATTTCTCGCATCTGTATTTAACAATGCTCCTTAATGCATATTTCCCATCTCGAATGCAATCTGTTTCGTTTCCTTCACCAATCCCTTCAGACAAGGCCTCGCAAGATTCCATCATGAACGATCCGTGTGAAATGTTGCTAAGTTCTTCACATCCAATCACACTACCTGTTTTCGAATGAAGAGATCAGGACCAACATTAAGACCTAATCGACCCAGAAGTCGCGCATCATATATTATATGACATCAAATGGTTTTAGCTTATGCAGAATCAAAACTTTCGTAGTATAGGATCGATATGTTGTCCATCTTGAATAATGCAGAGTTCCATCCTGTATTTCCTTGAAGTTTGAACACTTCTAACTCTTTTGGAGTGATTGACTGGCATGCATTCATAACTCGTTGTTTGAGATGATTGACATCACGAATGTGCTTTGAGTAAACCATAGCTTTAACTTCCCCCCACAAGTAACAATCTAAGGTAGAGAGGTCTGGCGATATCGCCGGCCACTTCACAGGTCCTCCTCTACCTATCCAGGAAACAGGAATCCAGCCAATGCCGTACGGCAAGGGCGTAATGAGGGGGAGCCTCATCTTGCTGAACCACACAGGAAAGTCTCTTTCTTCGTCCAACATTGAAGGAAAAGCTTCATTTTTTCGCATTTCAAGTTAATTCTCTGTAGTGACATTTTGTCGAAAAAAATGACCGTATAATTTTTCTGTAGTTGTTCGGTTAAAAATGGCTGGCTTCTGGAACACCCTTTACAATGGAATGATATCTGAATAAATATTTAAACTTTTTTCGCAAAAATTTTGTGTTTAACCCAAAATCAGAGTTGTGCCATATCTCTGTATCCACTGCTCTGGAAAACCGCACTGAAGCTCAGTTTAAGTTTACTTTTTCATGGCTGTCTTCAACGGACCTTAAGGAAGGTTTCCAGAAGATGGGAAAAAGCAGGAAGAATGCACTTAACACTTCCCTTGGCATGGAAGAAAGACCTCAGCAACCACAAGGACTGTTTGGAAGAATATAACTGGGACGTTACCTTCGGATTCGGATGGTTGGATGGAGGTTGCTGGCTGGCAGCATATTTCATCGGACTGACAGTTGCCTATTTTGGAAGGAAACACTGTCCCCGCCTTGCAGGAAGATGACGATTGGCCATTAATGCACTGATACGGACATTGACGATCACAATCTTTCATATAGTCTAAATCCAGGTCGATGAACTCCGTTCCATTAGCACACTTCCCAGAAATATGCCCAATAAATTTCCGACCGAGCACTAGCCACGCTATGTCACAATCGCATCGGATGGGATTGCCTAGAATAGGGGCACGAATAAGAGTGTAATTACATGAACGAAGTGAGCAAGGAATGCGACAGATTTTTGCACAGTCAGCATTGAAAAACTCACCGATTAAGACAAGGACTCCATTTCCCCTGGAGAGGATCTGCAAGATTGGGCGGAAGGTCTCCTCAGACAATACAGCAATTTTGTTGTCGTTCAGATAAATCTCCGTATCAGGTTCGACACCTGTTAATGAAATTAATGACGCCATGAGATGAGTGAAATGGAAACTCTAAGGATTCTTTCGATAATGCCACTGACGCGGGAATTTGCAGCTAATACAAGAAGGCCATATCCGAGGCATATCTGAAAGCCTCAGAAGACCTTTTCACTCCAAATCGACGAAAGCGTGAGCTCGACCATCTTCGACGAAAATCGTCATACATGTAGAGGAATCGATTTAAAGGGACCAATCTAAACCTTGTTTAATCTCTTCCACAGATCTTCAGATAAATGCTTTTTAATGAGACCTAATTTTCTCTCCCAGCGCCTAAAAAAACCGGAATTGTTAAACTGTTTCTGCAATAACTTCCCCTCTATTTAAGATAAAAGCTTCATTCTGGTACCAATTTAATTCTGAGATTGCCGCCTTTAAATTTATTTCAGAAAATATTCTTCTAAGCCGAAACAAGAAGCTTCACGTGATCAAAGATTTTCATCAAGTGAAGCTTGAGAGTTCGTCGTTTCAATATTTCATTAAAAAAGGACGTGGTATGCCATTTTTGGCGATACGAAATTTGAGATTGGCTCTCAACGGCTTGACGAGATATGAATATATTTTGGTGCCCCAGCGGTACCACATTCCCACTTGTTCCAACACTTCCACCGACTTCAGTGACCCACACCTGCACTTTCTACTCCACGAATCGCGACTTATAACACATCAAACAATAATACCTGCTCTGCCCTTTCTAACGATACCAAATTCAAGGTTGGCACCCAGAGCTCCTTTGTCGTCTTCGCTAGGTGCGCGAGCGCTCAGTCTTATTACAGCATAAATTCATTTTCGCCCAAATGGTCACGTACCCATGGGTCCAGAACTCCTCTCAGGATGGAGTCTTGATAGATGGCTGCGTTGTTCTTCGCTCCCTTTTCCACAGAAATCAGAGGAGTCATGCCCGTGGCACAAATCCCAGCCCACACCAGCACCAACTGTCGGAAATGCTACTTGCTCAAAGCTGCGGCTACCGAGAGCAGTTCTGGACCCTTGGGGCATGTGACCATATAGGCAGCGTGGATTCGTTGAAGAAGGGTTTGCTTAAGGAGTGGGTTGAATTAAGTTCGAACAGCTAACGGCCATCGTCGACCATTTTCCAAAGCGTTTAAAAGAATGTATCTCAGCCGACGGTGGACGTTTTAAATCATCCTAATACTGTTTGGTTGCGTTACGTTTGTTATGCTTAATGAAATTTTGATGGATTTGGGATGAAATACACCAAAGATGTCGCGGCAAGAACATTTTGCACACCCTGTATACCAAATACCGGTATATGTAGCTCTACGAGTGAATTTTTTGCTAGTTTTTAATTGTGACCATTTGATTACTTTCCTAGCATACAAAATTGCAAAGTATTGATTTTTGAACAGTTACAAATCAATTAACTAAATTAACTACAACCAATTCCTTATTGCATAATAATGGTGTAATGCAAATTTTTAAATTGAAATTCGGTGCAATATTTCGAGATTTTGCAGCAAGAAAAAGTGCAGAAAAAAGACAATAAATTTACTTATTGAACGGCTTACTAAAAGGCTACATTCCCAGAATACCCTTGTGAAGCACTCCGAGAACTTCTGTCCTCGTTAAGTGGTCATATCTCATGAAGCGATTGATTGCCACATATACCTTTCTATCGTTTGAAAGGACATAACGTGCCCTTTCTAAATAAATATTATAAATCCATCTGTTCTACAAATTAGAGTTTTGGCACTGCCATCAGAAATAGTCATACAAAGTAAGACGTTAAATGCCAATCTTGAATTTTTAGCGTAAAATCGGCATTAAATGTAATTTTTAATGTAGATTACGAGTTTGACGTCAAGTAGACATCAGGCAAATGTTGGTCACCGAAATTGGTCTAATTGTTCAATCAAGTGGAATTTCGCGTACACATACTAAAGTCATATCTCATGAATCCATTGTGTGCCAACTTTGAATTTGTTATCGTCAGAAATGTCGTACCATGTCCTTTTTAATGAAAATTTTAAACGACGAAAGCTGCATTTGATGAAACTCTTTGATTAGGTGAAGCTTTTTGTTTCAGCTTAGAAAAGTAGTTTCTGGAAACAATTTAAAGGCGGGAACCTCAGAATTAAATTGATACCAGAATGGTATTGCGCTGGGAGAGAAAAGTAGGTCTCATTAAAAAGCATTTACCTGCAGATCTGTGGAAGAGATGAAAAAAAATTGGATTGGTATCTTTAAATTGATTCTTCTGCGTGCATGGCGATTTTCTTCGAAATCCGAAATGGTCGAGCTCACACTTTGGTCGATTTGTCGTGGTAAGATCCAATGAATTATTCTGTTGATAGGATACGCATTTCATTTTAGTGCCATTAGTAGGCTTCGGTAGCGCCAATTATCTTTCTTCAACCCCCTCTCGTAGCAAAATTCAATCTATTCGTACTCCCCACTGACTGAATCATCAGGGACAAAATTAAGCAAGTTTCTTCTTCTCTCAACACAGAAGAGCTCAAGAAAATTTGAAGCTCCATATACCGGGGTATGGGAGAAAATTGAATTTCGCTTGCGGAAGATATGTATTTCATTCCCTCCTCCCCTAGTTAGCTCCTCCTGGGGGGTTTCCATGGAATGAGACCAACTATAAGAAAGATTCTTACTCGTGAATTACAAAAAGTCTTCATTTTGTTGCTTGACATGCACCATATACGCATAAAATGTGAAATTAGCTGTCATTAAAATAGGCATAGAGTGCTTCCTCCGACCCCGCCCCCCAGTTTTGTTGGATATCGAGTCAAAAAATTTGCGAGATGAAAAACTTCTTCAGGCTTCGTATCGGCGTCTGGATCTCTTGTTTTTTTTGTATGAGACATTTTAGGGCTAGGTTTATGAGCAGAGCTGAGAATGAAGCGGTGGTTAGCAGTGATAGATCAATTTGGTGGGATCTGGTGATATCCGTACATCCCTGAACTAACACGAAAGCGGATTTCATGCTTCCTGGAGGCATTCCCTCCCGATCTGCGGTGGTTAGAAAATCTCCATATAGGTCTAACGTTACACATCCTCTGAAATGGTTCGTTAAAGTGCGAATGGGCCTGGGATCGGACTAACGTTATACCTCTCAAGGAGATGTCTCAAACACCACGGATTTACCATTACAGGCCTGATTGGCCCTGTTTTGTCAAAATTGAGCTTTTTAAAGGAAAAAGGTAGGTCTTAGACGTTAGTGAATCCCATAGAAAAGGGTGGAGAGGAAGGGGTTGAAGAAAGGGAAAGCCATTGAAAATTGGTTTTCCCATTTCATCATTTTAATTATGGTTCCACCGAAAAAGCATACCAGAAATAGCTCCCTGTTCCAGTCTGGAGATGCCGTTGTTTGAGAGATCAACTAGTTTCAAGGCCGTGCTCTGGAATTCCAGGAGATCGCGTGAGAGCGTGGGACCCAGGTTGCACTCCCACCACCATAATTTTTCCAGATTCTTCAAGCCCTTCATTGCCACGAACGGGAACCTCAACATGGGGTTGATACCTAAATAAAGGCAAAAATGAATGAGATGAGGAAAACCTGCTCTATCAGCATTGTTAACATTTGTTCGAATAAAAATCAAAATTCTCGAATGGTGCTACTCAACCATTCTCTATCACACTTCAGTTGAGAAAAGACACATTCATTTTCGATATTTATTGTCTAGGATACTCGTTGATTAGATTGCATTACAAATACTGACGTTTGCCAAAATTTGCTCTTGTTTGTGGCATTCAGGTCTCTCCTATGCTTCCTATGTCCACTTCTTTTCAAGCCTTTCCTGCTGATTTCTTTAGTGTTCAAACTAAGCATGTGCATGGGTTTAAATGAATTGGACACTTCGCATCATGGTCGAAGCTAGGTTCCGACTATCCATTCCGGGACTGAGCACAAAGATGATGATCCTTGTGCTATCGCTATGATTTAGTCCGTATTAGAGTTCATCGCATCCTCAGAGAAGAAACATTACCTTTCGGAACCACACCAGTGTGGTGCATATAATGTGGTGCATATAAATACAGGGTGTTTGCCAATTAGTCACCATTTTAAAATAATATAAAACTTGAAGTATGGAAGCTCTCATGATGAGTCTCCTACCATTAACGCAAACTTCAAAGTTTTTTATTTGCAGTTGACAATCCTAAGTTGATGTTATTAACGTATCAACATGCGAACAACCTATTAAATTTTGCAAGCGGGTCATCTCAAACCGATATTCACATATGTTCATCAGTAGTTTGTCATGGCTCCAAACTAGCCCCGACATCAAACCACGTGACTTTTTCCTTTGGGAATATCTAAAGGAAGAAATGTTCAAGAGAGCTACTTGCCCAGTCCCTGAACTAAAAAAAGGAATAAAGTAATGTGTCATTGAAATTTACAATGATCTGCTGAATAGTTTGATAAATAACATGCAACAAAAACAGTCAACAGTGCATGTGGCTGTCACATTTAGCTTACCTTGCGCTGAACTACACATGAAAAAAACTTTGAAGTTTGCTCTATTTAATGGCATGGGAATCACTGCTGTAGCTTATACGCAGTAAAAATTATATTATTTTGAAATGATGACTAATTGACCAAAACACCCTGTAGAATAACGAGCTGGCTGATAACGAAAAAATCTCACAGGCTTGATGTTGAACCAATGATTCACTAGAAAACCTCGTCATAAACGATGGATTCGAAGAACCCAATGCTATTCGACTCTTGGTAAGATTTGTAAAGTTATTTGAGGTAAATGTGATTTAAAAAATCAGTTTCATTTTTGAATGAAGGACAAAACTGATCCTTCGGTTAATCAAGAGAAACTTGACGAGATATTAAAAAACCAGGATTAGCAAGAATGGGTACTTCTCAGTGCATATATCGTTGTTGGCATATTGCACTTGTAACTATTAAAAACGAGGACTAATCACACTTTCCCCGTGATCACATTTATCCCGAAAAACCTGATAAGGATATTGAATAAACTTTCTTAGGAGAATAGGCATCGAGTACGATGGATTGATGCAAGTCATTTGCAATACTTCTTTTTCTAGGTTAAATTAATGTGAAGAAACAGACCATTTTACAAAAGTTTTCCCATGATGGATTATCCTACAGCACAATATATTCAATACTCACCGAGGCTGAGATCCTTCAATTTTGGAGTGGCCCATCCATCGAACTCCACACTTGTAATGTTATTTCTGAATAGACTGAGTACTTCCAGGCTGTCGCTCTTGACCGCTGGCAGAGAGGTCAACAAATTTTCGTAGAGATATAGCTTCTTCAAATTGGGAGTCACCCATCCGTCGAACTCCACATTCGTGATCTTATTGTTTTTGAGCGCGAGTAACTCAAGGCTATCGCTCTTGAAGGCCGGTACAGAGGTCAACGAATTGTCTTCGAGATGTAGCTCCCTCAAATTGGGAGTCTCACTTCCGTCGAACTCCAAACGTGTAATATTATTTTCACGAAGGGTGAGAACTTCAAGGCTGTAGCCATTGAACGCCGGGAAAGAGGTCAACGAATTGTTGTGGAGAAAAATAATTTTTAATTTATGTGTCCTCCACCTATCGAATTCCACACTATTGATCTTATTGTTTTGGAGGTAGAGTATTTCAAGGCTGTCGCTCTCGAAGGCTGGGAATGAGGTCAACAAATTATCGTTGAGAATAAGTTCCTTCAAATTGGCAGTCACCAATCCGTTGAATACTACACTGGCTATATGATTAGTGTGAATACTGAGAATTTCTAGATTGTCGCCCCTGAAGACCGGGATAGAAGTCAACAAATTTTTGCCAAGTTGAAGTACCCTCAATTTCGGAGTCGCCCATCTGTCGAAATTCACATTCGTGATCTTATTGTCATTGACGTAGAGTATTTCTAGGCTGTCGCTCTTGAAGTCCGGCAAAGAGGTCAACAAGTTGATTTGGAGATCGATTATATGCAATTTAGGGGTCATCCATCCGTCGAACTTCACACTCGTGATGCTATTATTACTAAGATCGATAATTTCTAGGGTGTCGCTCTTGAAGTCCGGGACAGAGGTCAACCGATTGTTGGGGAGATGTAGTTCTTTCAATGTGTCGAATCGATGAAGACTATGAAAGGAAAATTCTTTCAGTAGACTATTGTGAATATTCAGATACAATAAGAAACGTTTTGTGGAGAGGATGGCGGATCGATGGATCTTCTTAATTGCAGTATTATTTATAAATATTCTCCTGAATTGAAGTTCCCCAAAAATTCCTTCCGGGAGGTCCACTATTTCTGGAGCGTCTTTGATGGTGAATCCCCTGCGTGGAGAAAAAAACATGGTGTGTACTTTTAACATTCATATCTTGATGATAAATGCATAGTTTCAAAATCATTCACGTTCAAGTTGAAAAAGGTTAAGAAATGACAGTGATCCATGTTCTTCAGGAGATTTCCTGAGAAAAGAGCTAATGAGACTTTTTGAATCACTGATTGTCAACACAGACCGGCAAATTAAGCCAGTAAATGCGCAAGTCCACAACTAATTCAAGTTTTGCTTTGGGACCGTTTTCATTGATGGTTTTCTTAGAAGACAAGAGGGTGCCCCAAGATGGCTTCAGTGAAGAATTGTTTAGGGAGGCCACAATTTGTGGAACATCCGAAGGTAATTAACTAGCTGAACCTCATTTGCAGTTACAGCGATTCTGGTGCTGGCGAGAATTCCTTTCAACAGCAATATTAAAACGCTTTAAAGCCTAGTTGTATTTTGGATCGCATCAAAATTCCTTTTTCTGGATTGCGGCTTGAAGCATTTGGGTGAGAATTGGGCATACGGTTTACATTTTTTCATACTCTGGATCATCCTCATAAAAATTTTTTTGGTGGCAGCTTGAGTTGCTAGAGCGAGATCATCAGTGTAATCGAATTTCCTGCTGATGGTGGCAAGTAGGTCGCTGATATATACAGGGTGATTCAAAATCATGCATAAACACTTTGATTTGTTGTATCTCAAAAAGTTTATTGTTTAAACACAAGCCAAAAATAGTTTCACATGCATTAGATATGTGGAAATTTGTTGCACAGAAAAGGTTAGGTCAGAATTTCAAAATGTCCACCATTGGCATGCAGACATGAACAGCATCGTTTCTTAATAGCCCGACATACAGTAGCGCACGTGTCAACTGTGATTTTACATGATTCTAGTTGTTCCATCTCCCACAAATTCTGCACTGTTTCAGTTTTATAGCTGTACACTTTGCCTTTGAGGTATCCTCGTACAAAGTTAAGAAAGAAGAAGGTATTCCCCGCACAAAGAAGTTATCTTGAATTGATAATGCACCACCACACTTTCACATAAACGTCTGTGCCTATCTGGATACTGAATTTCCCGAAAGGTGGATAGGTTGCCAGGGGAGCGCCCATGAATACCCCCCACGGTCTCCAGACCTCAGCCCTCTAGATTTCTTTGTATGGGGATACCTCAAAGACAAAGTGTACAGCTATAAACCTGAAACAGTGCAGAATTTGTGGGAGATGATATAACAGGAATCACATAAATCACAGTTGACATGTGCGCCACTGTATGTCGGGTTGTTAAGAAATGATGCTGTTTGTGTATGTGTGCCAGGGGTGGACATTTTAAAAATCTGACTTAACTATTTTCGTGCATCACATTTCCACATATTTAATGCATGGAAAACAATTTTTGGTTTGTGTTTGATCAATAAACTTTCTGAGATATAAGAACACAAAGTGTTTATACATAATTTTGAATCACCCTGTATTTGAAATTTGATCAGTGCTGGGGCCAACACTGATCCCTGCGGCAGACCGTTACTTCGTAGTCGACGTCTACTCGCCATGCCTCGAAGGTGCACACAGAAACGTTTGTTGACCAGCAAGAAGGAAAGGAGTCGCAGCGTCTGGCGACATCTGATGACCCTTTGACACTTTCAGCAGCAAGCCTTCTCGCCATACGGTGTCGTAGGTCGCTGAAAGGTCAATGAAAGCGGCTCCTGTAATGTTCTTGCGTTGGTACCCCGCTTCGATGTGCGGGGTAAGCGTCAGTACCTGGTCGCAAGTACTGCGTCCAGGCCAAAACCCGGCTTGTTCAGCTGGGATACGTTCCTCGTAGATGGGTGACACACGGGTTAGAAATATCCCTTCAAGAAGTTTGCATGTTGTGTTGAGTAGGGAGATCGGCCTGAAGTTCTTTGGGTCATCAGTTGACATACCGGGGTTTGGAATGGCGATGACTTTCGCTTGTCGCCATTTCTGTGGTATTTTTTTCAAGAGGCGAGGATGGTCGAGAAAAAATTGCGAGCCACCAGTCAGTTTATGCCAAGGTATTTCAGGAATTCAGGATAGGTCCCGTCTAGTCCTGCGGCCTTGCCTGTACTTGTGACCTTTCGTGCCTCGGTGACCTCTTCTTCAGTGGAAGGTGATGAGAGGGCTGATGTTGGTGCACATTCCACCATTGATTGCTGTCGGGGTCATTCCGCTAATTAACATCTGGGCACAAAACACGGGTCGGGGGTCGAGTCTTTCCGCCAACGTGCCGAATGGAAAGTGTGTGCTAACAAGATATGTAAGAATATTTTGACCAATTTTCAGGTTATTTCAAAAAAATATTTGTTGAGAAAAAAATTGTGGGCAAAACTTTTTGCGTGACCCTCGTAGAAGACATATCATACCTCGGTTATAAATGATAAAGAAAATCATATTTCATTCAGAACTATACATTTGTATCATACATGCGACGTGATGCAATATAATTAAATCGATGTGGAATACGATTCCATGCATATGGTCTATCTTGTGGTTACTTCCAGTAAAGAAAAATTGCTTTGTTGAGGGTGGGGCTAGGTACCAAACAGTCAGTTGAGTACAAGAATACCTAAATGACCGGTGTTTGGTGCAGAGTTGAGGAAGTTTAAGAGATTGAACAGAAGAAAATTCTCACCAGAGAATAGTTGAGGACCATGACGTTTTCGTCAGTATTGAGGAAATCTGAGCAGCAGAGCTGGCATTCGAGCAGTCCAATGACAAGAAACTGCCACTCCAGACTAATGAGCACGAACAGGGTGATATGTCTTCGGTGGGGCATGTCTGCTGCCCAAGCACAGGCACAAAGGTGGCGAGAAAGAGGAAGAGGACGATCGATGATAGATTCATTATGGGATTGTCTATTGGAGGATGGCCGGAAGAGGTCCTTAACGTGGGGAATCCTTTCAGGTTTCTCTCCTTACAAGACGGAAGTTGATCCACGTGATTATGCCATGTATTCCTGTGGGAACAGAAAGATTCTCCGATGATCGCAGCATCAAAATCAAAATGGAAGTGCTCATGGATGAGCGTAACATTTTGTAATGCCAATGTGAACTGGATAAGAACTCGTTTTATTTAGGAATGCGATGAACCTAACTTCTAGTTAGGTTCTTCTAGTTCGATGGCAGGAAGAGAACGAGAGGTAACCAACAACCATAGAATTGCGTATCGGTGCGTTCAATCGGTCAAATAGGAGAGGAAAACTTTTGAATTTTTGTTTGTGAGATGTACTCTCGATGATGATAAAATTAGCTGGGTTGCAACACTATCGAACTTCTCGAGGTTTGTTTGAAAATGTTAAATGTCGGGATTGAACCGAACTGCTTCATATCTTTAGGTAAGCATTTTCAAATGTCCACCCATTAGAAGGCCGCTAGTAACACTTAATTTCATGCTTGCAACCCGAAGCATTTTCTCTGACGTCATGTAACCAAAAGCTAAAAGTGACGTCACACTGAAGACTTTCCAAAATCTTTGGAGTTCCACCGCGGCATTTATGAGCAGTGAATACTGCATACGCAATTTTCTGATACATGAAAAACCATCAGATTTATTTGCGTCGTCTAGTCCAGCGCGCGTGAGTCTTGCAAATCTTTTTTTTTTCTCACTTGGGGGTAAACCCCGCCAGGATGTGAAACAGAATTTACCTTTCATGAAGTCTGGGAATTCTTCCCCCGAGATCGATGAAGTTGAGGTTGGCGAAGGAGACGGGTGGGAAGCACCCGATGCACACGCTTTCTTCCCACGAGGCACTGTGGCACGACGCAGCGAGAACTCGAGGAGGCGGCCTTCCTCTTCGGACAAGGTTGTCGCTCCCTTCGGGCTATTTGCGGCTGCTTCTTCTTCGCTGCATTATTTTGTCTTCCGAATGGTCTGAGTTCGTGACGTGAATATTCAAGTACGCTGACTAAACTTCACAGTTCAGGGTGGGCCAAAAAACACTTGACAGTTTTCAACGATGCACTAAGCCTCACACACGGCAGGTATTTTTAACATAATGTGGCGTTTGAAAGATGAATAACTCTATTGAATAAAATCAACTGCGGTCCGTGGTCGCAATTTGCCATTCGTGCAGACACACACATGACACGCGCGTGAGCACAGCGCGATCGCGTGTGCTCTCCCCATGGAGACTCACGCCTCCCTCTTCCCGCTCGCATTTTCCCCCGGCCGTGGCGACTGCCCGGTCTATTCTCGAGAACGTAATAGCCCGGGGCATGATGCAAACCCTCCTCGATCTCGGCACTCGCGTGCATGGCGTGTGAAGAAGCGTGGGAGCGTGAAGAAGAGTGAACCCTCTGCGAATTCGGCACCAGCCTCTCCTACGTGCAAAGGCGAGTGCAGGGAACCAGAGATGCGATTGCGCGTGCCTCATCTCTTACGCTCTTTAGTCCATGCTTGTTCCATGCTTATCCCATCTATGTATTAATATATAATACGCTAATGTATGTTTGTAAGCCGCGCTTCGATGATATGCTGAAGCATATCCTTACATTTCACGCATCGTTTGTAAGCCAATGTTCATTAAGTGTGCACCGAGAAATCAGATTTGAAATAGCATCAACCGAGAAGGAGTTATAAGCCAGTACATGTTTCACCACTACGGTAGCCCCGGTAGAGCCCTACAATTTTTTTCGGTACCCGACTCGATGGGCCCGA